ATGGGTCAGTACTAAACAATCACAGAGTGGGCTCTTGATATGATTGAATGCTTTACCAGCTGGAGCCCATTTATTCCTCCTAGCAATGTCCCCCCAAACACTGAAGGGTGGGTCCATTCCCCATTTATAGTAGAGGCAATGGGTAATTTTTTTATTTGTTTTTATCCCTACTTTATGGATAAAGACAATGAACTTTAGAGAATCTGAGAGATTTTCTCCTAGACACGTTGCTTGGAACTGGTAGATAGGGAATTTAAATTCATGTGGTCTGATGCGCTATGATGGACAGACAGTTTTATCTGTCAATTTGCCCAAGGTATAGACAATAGTTACTAAACCAAACACTGTCTGAAGGTGAGAAATGGAGGATGATCTTTCTAAGACAATAGCTTGTCTTGAAAGAACATCGTTATACTTCTGATTTTTGTTTTTGACTATTAGGAGCCACATATCATCTCGTTCATTTCTTCTTGAGTTCCTCCTGTAAACGCCCCAGCCTGAAACATACACCTTTGTCCTGAACTCACTGGGGAGATGGTTGTGCTTCCAGAAGCAAGGTAGAAACAAAGAGCATGGTAATAGCATCCAAAATATGAACCCCGTTATTCTAAGATTTGTGGAGAATTTCCTAAGCACTGTATCTGGATTATTTTATTGACTTTTAAAAACAGCCCTAGGAGGCAGGGATGGCTCATCCCCACCCTGTTTGTAGCTGAAAAAAACTAAAGCATAGAGGGGTTTATTAATTTGCCCAACACTAGTAAATGGCAAATCCAGGTAGGAGCCCTAGCCTCCTGACCCTGGACTGTACTCACTCCAGTCCACATGAAAGCTGTCTACAAGCTGTGGAACCATATGTGATACAAGATTATATACAGGTGATGCTCACTATTTGTGGATTCCATATTTACAAATTTGTCTACTTGCTAAAATTTATTTTTAACCCCCAAATCAGTACTCACCATGCTTTCACGGTCATTTACGAACATGAGCAGAGTGGCAAAAAATCTGAATCTCCCAGCGTGCACGTTCCCAGCTGAGGATGAACAAGGTGATACCACCTCCTTGTTTCAGCTCTCGTACTATAAATAAGTGTCCTTTTTGCAGTGTATTTACCACTACATTTTGTGTGTGTGTGTGTGTGTGTGTGTGTGTTTTATTGGTGGTTTCACTTCCTAAGGTGACCTTCAAGCATCATGCCGGAGGGCTGTGTGGTGTTCCGAAGTGTGAGAAGGTTGTGAGGTGCCCCGCATGTATTACTAGGTAAACTTCATTTAAGTTTGGATTATAGCACTGTTGGCCGCAAGTTCAGTGCTGATCAATCAACAGAATATATTATAAGATGTCTTTAAACAGAAACACACGTGAAACAAGGTTATGTGTTGATGGGTGGACAAAAAATGTTGTGACCAGCAGTAGGCAGAAAGCTAATCCTGCCTTTCCCCTAGAATCCGTGATCCGGCATTGTTAGTTCATTGTTTGTGGTGACTTTGTAGAACATAACTACCACGAATAACAAGAGTGGACTGTATTTCTCTATTATCTTGCTTTCCTTAATTAATTAATTTGTTAAATTTCAGTGTTGTGCTGTCAAAGGCCCATGTTCTCAAAGGGACAAAAATCGGTTCTTAATGGAGGGGTGGTGAGAACTCCTTTTTATGTAAAAAGCAGAGATATTCATGGAGCATGTAACAGATGTATAGTATATTGGCCATATTACAACTTTGGTGGATAGTTAGGGAAAAAGTCCCAAAAGTTTCCTCATGGGGGAGGGCAGCAATGAAAAAGTGATTGCAAAACATAGCCACAGGGCAGAGTGACTATGTGGTGAAACATTTAAAGTATTTACTAGACTATATGGCACAGCATACATAGTTGTTATTATAAATATCATTTGTTTTTTTTTTATCTTCTTCCCTTTCTTCATAGACCAGCATTTCTTAAACTGGAGTTTGTGGTCCCCTGAGGGGTCTGCATTCTGTTTTCAGACCTGTCTGAGAATTTCCTCTGAAATTTATTTTACTTTGTGCTTTCGTTTTGATGACAATCATAAAAACAATAAATCATCGTATACTGGTTCCCTTTTATAGACGAGTCCTGCCACAAGATTTCATTGTCCAAGTTTACACCTATCTTTTAAGGCAAGAACTCTACTTCAATGCTTATGGGCCAATAAGGAATAAAAGAGGAGCAGATTTAAAGATCGTGAGTGAAACAGTCAGACTGAGTGAAGGCCCAGGAATGTATCATCCTGTTCTGGGAGGAAGGACTCGCAAGTCTGATTGGAGGAAGATGGTGGGCAGGCTGAACCCTCACTGGGGGGTGGCATGGGTATGCCCAAATCAAGAGAACGTTGGCTTTAGCAGCAAGTACTGTATTTACATTTTGAAAGGCAATTTAATCTCTCTGCAAAATAACATCATCTGTTAATTCGAATTTTATGGCCTTTCTTGTTTTTGTGTTTAATTCGTTACTTTGTTTTGGTCTTCTTGCTGAATCAGTTAAAGCATATGGAGTTTATTTTTAGCTTTCCATTTGTGCATCACTAAATAACAGTATATTAAAATTAATTTAAGTCTCCATTAGTGGTGAACAGTAATGCTTTTTGCCATATTAAAGGGAGTGTTGGCATTACTCAGGTTTGAGGAGTATCGTAATGGACTCATAGAATCACAGACTATTTGAACTGCTGGGAATCACTCAGTCCAACCACCTCTCCTGCCACATTAGGACACTGAGCCTCCTGGATGAGGAAAAAGTGAGTGTTCAAGGTCAAAAACAAGAGAGCAGCAGACTGAGGTCAGAGACCACATTGACATACTTCTAACTGCATACCTGGTCCAATATGTCCACTCTGTCTGAAGGTGAACCATGGCAGGCCACAGAAATGGGCTAGATACAAACTAATGGAGAGTTACTGTGTCATCTTGGCTAACTCTCAGGGAGAACGATGTTCAGTGGGCAGGGACAACAGTAATAACAGATTTGTCTCAGAGCCAGAAGTCACCTTGAACAATGGGCAGTGGTAAAGGGAGACAACAGCCTTTTGACATCCCTGCTCAGATGATATCACCCGTGAACTCGTGTTGTTCCGGTACTCCCAACATTCACAATCAAATCCCTGAAGCTCATCTGTTCTCTCCTGCTCTGTATTTTGACGTAGGCACACTCCCCCAAACTGGGGTGTGTGCCACTGTGTGGGGAGCACTACTGGGAATGTGTTTCTCAGCCACATGTAAGAGTTCCGATCATACCTTGTGAAGTAAAAAGAGCTCATTTGTGATAGAATTGGATGGTCATTATATTAGTTTTTTCTTGCCACATCACGAATGACCACAAACTTAGCAGCAGCTTAATGCAAGATACATTTATTATCTCGCAGTTTCCTGGGATCAGAATTCTGGACTTAGACCAGCTGGGAGTTTTGTTCAGGGTCTCACAGAGTTGTGATCAAGATACTAGCCAGTGCCATGCTCTCATTAGAGGCTTAGGTGGGTCCCTGTCCACGCTCACGTGGTTGTTGGCCGAATTCTTTTCCTTGCAGCAGCAGAACTCACAGCCGCTTGCTTCTTCAGGGCCAGTGGGCAGGGTCTCTTCTCTAGACTCTTGGAGAGAGCTTACCTATTTAGGCCAGGCCCACCCAGGACAACCTCCCTTTTGATGAAAGTCAACTGATTAGGAAATTAATTGCATCCGCAAAACCCCTCACTCTTGCCATGTTCTATTGTGTAGAGGCAAGTTACAGGTTCTACCCACACTCGAGGGAACAGATTACCAAGGATACGGGCACCAGCTTAGCCTGTTCAAGTGGTTACAAAAAAATACCATAGACTAGTGGCTTATAACAACAGAAATTTAATTCTTACAGTTCTGGAGGCTGAAAAGTCCAAGAGCAAGGTGTCTGGTGAGAGCCTGCTTCTTGGTTCACAGATGGCTGTCTTTTTCTTATGTCTTCACATGGTGGAAGGGGCCGGGGAGCTCTCAGGGGTCTCTTCTGTTAGGGCACCCGTCCCATTCATGAAGGCTCCCCCCTTATGCTCTAATCCCCTACTAAAGGTTCCACCTCCTAATACCATCCCACTGGGGATTAGGTGAATTGGGGGGAACACATTCAATCTGTAGCAGGTACCATGGGAGTTATCTTAGAGCTCTGCTCACTGCAGTCACTGATACTTCTCTTACTAGGCAGTGAGTAGGGTTCCTATTTGCAGACATTTTGAGAATGTTTAGAAACATTACTGTATATCTTCATATTAAAAGTTAGAAGAATAGAAACTCAGCTATCAGCTGAAGTGAGATTTTTCATACTAGGGCATGACTGACGTTTTGTGCTGGAGAATTCTTTCTTGTGGGAGCTGTTCTGTGTGTTGTAAGATGTTTGGCAGCATCCCTGGCCTCTACCTACTAGGTTCTAGGAGTACATCCTCCCCAGTTGTGACAACTAAAAATGGTACCAGAAATTGCCAAATGCCCCCCTGAGGGAAAAAGCACCCCCACTTGATAACTACTGCGTTAGATACATAAGTATTTTTTGTTTTTAAAGAAGAACCTATTAAAACAGGGAATTTGGTTTCTAAGGTGATACCACTGTTTGGAGCCAGCAGGTCCTTACTATTCGGATAATGCCTCATTCTTAGATGTGCTTTTGTCTTGTACTGGGAAATGTATAGTTTATAGTTGCAAATAAAAAATTAATACTGTAGATGAGTTTCCCACATGTCCTTTCTTATTCACACGTATGCCAAAATGAGATTATGTTATCATATGTTTTATAATCTTGTCTGAGTTTATAGTCGAGCTATACTGTAATAGGGCTTTAGTTCCACTCTTAAGGGTCAGATATGTAATGCAAGAGGCAAGAAACCTTATAAACTCCCTTCTTGGTATTATGGCTCTTTTCTTGGAAACCAGTGATAATGGCTTGGTATGGGACAGAGTGGAAGGCATGGTCAGTTCTGAAGTTAGGAAACTCAAAAGCTGCTCATTCCTGTTTTCTCTAGGCAAAGGCAGCTCAAGCATCTCATCCGACGTGAGTTCAAGTACGGATCACACGCCGACCCAAGCCCAGAAGAATGTGGCTACCAGTGAAGGTAGGCATCTGGTCTTCATTATCTCTCTCCCTGTGTTCACAGTGCAGGCTATTTTTGGAAGACAAATAAAATGTGTGAGTCTCAGTTCTGTTCTACTGAGTGGGAGCATATGAGATTCTTAAAACTGAGAAGGCGGAGGGTTTCCCAAGTTGCTTTTTGGTTGCTGTGCTGTTACCTTCTGAGAAAGGGGTTTTCATAGGATTTAAGTGTCTCAATTCGTAGGCAAATGCTGTTATTTCGTGAAAATATAATAGGCTGACTTTTGGGGAGCCTTCATGATGTTATCTGTCTTGTTTTTCAGTGTGGAAAACACTATGATTGTAAAATTCCTGTGCTCTAGTTGAAGGTTCCTGCAAACACTTTCAAAATTGGAATTCAGGATTTTGACAATGGGAGGGTCACAATCGTGTGATTTGTAGAACTTGAATTAACCATTATGTGGGAGGAGAAAAAGAGGTCTGATTGATTATTTAAAGGATACATAGAAAGTCATGCTTCTCAGGACAAAGATCGGCTCCATTGATGTTCTTGATATAGAATTTCACTATATGTAGTAATACATGTTTGAATTAATTGCTCTGCCTAGTCCAGAAGCTTTTGTGTTACTACTTGTTTGCGTGTGGAAATCACTGTTTCTGTGGTAGTTATTTAGTGGAAAGCCGAGTCAGTGATGGAATTAGTTTTTATTTTAATGTTAAACACAATTGAGTTCTCTTCTGAAGAAGAGCTCCTTCTGAATTAGTTGTTGAAAGCAGGTCCAGTGTAAGATGTCGATGCCACTTACAATGGAAGGACCCAATGTGAGGTGACCTTGTGTAGAGCCTGCTTTCTTAAAGTGTGCAGGGTGTGTGGAGGTACATTTCTACGCTCTTGTCTTGAGGCTTAATTGAAGCTGCTTGCAATATTGGGAAGCATACCCATGACCTGATGTTGGTCATCTCAGTGTTTGGTTGCTCTTGATCTGCGTGACCGTGTGTGCATGAATGATGAAGGTTGGCCCCTGCTGTGTATGTCTTCTCTTTGGCTTTGACTTGGTGTGTTTCAAACAGACTGATATATAAAGAGCTTTTATAATGGGATTATATTCCCTGGCGTTTAATGCCTTAACGTGGTTTTACCAACATTGTAAGGTGAATAGATCAAGGTGTTCTCCTCAGTGCTGTGAAGCACCAGATAGAATTCCAATTTGAATTTTCTGGCTGTTGATTCAAATATGAGCACTAAGTCATTCTGGAAATTAGTTAAGGTAACGTGCAAGTCAGGTAAATTGATTCTAGACTTTTGCTTTTGAGGCCTCTGTTCTTAGGAGCCCAACTGGAAATCACTTCAACATAACTTATTTACTTATGGTTTTCTCTAATCAGAAATCTTTGTTTTGTAAGGTGATCACTTCTTTCTACCATGATTTTAGTCACTCTTATTATAGTCATAGTTCGGCTAATTGGAGTGACTGTGAAAATAGAAAGTTAAAAGTATGTGAAATAATCCCTCTGTGTTTCCCTCTCCAGATTTAAGTTTTTTAAAAACAGAAAATACGAAACTGTATGGGCTCTGTTGTAAGGGTTGGGGGAGGGGACTGCAGGGCTTCATGCACTAAAAATGTCTTCTTTTTATGCTTCAAAAAAATAACGCTATAGGGATTTAAAATTTTCATCTTATTCTGCCTTTTCCTTGGGAAGATTCTTTTGATGCGGGGCTCTGCCAGTGTTTTATACATTTTTGTCACAATGCATTTCCTACCATTCTGAGGGTAAATTCAGGAGGGAAAAATGGGAAAATATGATGTTCATGTGAAACAGAAATTTTAACAACTGGACTAAATTAATAGGGAATATTTTTTCCAACTCTTAAATGGAAGAACCCCATCTCTATGAAAGATGCTATCCATTTTTTTGCATATCTGCAAAGTTGTGGTTTTTTTTCTTTACTGTTTGTATGTATGAATCCACTTTGCTACTGTTTTTTAATCAATGGAACTAAAAAAATATCTTAAAATAAATTAGGTGTGGGTGTTACTTCCATAAAAATATATTCAGGGATGTCTGCTGCAAAATGGTCTCGCTGTCAGCCTGGTTTTTCAAGATGGAACACCAGCCAGTGCTCATTTCTCAATGCACAGGTGACAGAGTCCTGGTCTGCCTCTCAGGATTAGGGTGTCATATTCTCTGACCTCCACAAAGTGGTAAACCCAACAGTAAACCCAATAGTTTGCTCCTACCAGAAAGCACCTACTAGCCACTGTGTGCCAAGAAACAGAAACTGGACACCAATTTCTTACACATGCTACAGAGGAGCCAATTAAAAAGTGCTTCTCTGGTTCTCTTCCCACAGTTTCTAGAACCGTTTTTTTAACCTTGGTTGTTAAGAAAATGTTGGGCGAGTGGTGTAACTGGTTTTCCAGAAGTGATTTGACTACCGTTACTTTCTTCAGTTCTTTGATCCTCTTAAGAGGACTTTTCACCTCTGACTTTACCAATATCCTCTTCAAGAAACACAGGCAGGATGAAGGTTTGAGTAATACTGATTTCTAAAAATGAGATATATCGTGAAGGACAATATTCAGTTTTCCTGCAGCCTTTGCAAACTGTGGCCATACCTATAATAGTTGGGTTGAAAGCCTTGGGGAGCAGAGTTGGACTTGTCCGTGGTGGGCTGGACAGGGAAGGTATGTAATATCAATTCCCGGTCCTGTGGGGCACGTGTGTGTGTGCGTGCGCACGCGTGCACATGCACCTGCACATGTGCTTTTGCGTACAGCCTCCAGGTGACAGCCAATGGCAGAGTTGTCGTCTGTCACTGGGAAGCATGTAAGTAATCTATGCGTTGCATGCTGGCGCCTGACCTGAGGACATGGGAGCTGAGGGGAGGGAAGGGCGCCCATATGCCATGCACCAACCTAGGGCTGGCAGTGGCAGTGGGGACTAAATATGACAGACACCAGGGATCTGACTAGGGAGATGGTCATGTTCTAAAACTGGATCGTGGTAAAAGTTGCACGACACAGTACATTTGCTTAAAAGTCATTGAAGTAGACACAGGAAATGGGTATTGGAAGCTGCTGCTTCTGCATGACCTTCAGACCTGCATCTAAATCAGCACAAACTACTTTTCGAAAATGCTGCCTCCCACCTCTGGGAAGAAGTCTTGAACAGTGGTGAGAAGACCCCTTAGGAGCATGGGTCTTGACTGTACAGAGAGCAGGGCTGCTGGCTAAAAGCTTCTCCTGGGATGCTCTGGCCTCGGGGCCAGCACTGCCCTGAAAGCATCATAAGGAGTCCCTGGACCAGTAGTGTTCACAGCCCCGCACATGGTATCTGGTCAGCGTGGACTTCTCGTAGGTACATACTCTTCTGGAAAGTTCTGGAAGACATGAGAGATGATAGACCCACAAGTTTCTCAAAACCATTTTTTTTTTTAAAGCTTTTCCCAGAGAGTCTCTAACCTCAGCTTGGATTTTAAGTTTTTGGCAACCAAGCCTGGTTGATGGTTAAGGCCTCAGTCACGTTTATTCATTCTAGGAAGTGTAAGGACTCATGTCCTTGCTGTCTACCGGATGTTCCCACTCATCTACTTTGGGTCATAAGGCTGTTCCCCTAGGCATGGTGGGCACAGACGGTGATGCAATTCAGTTTTAATCCAACAGAGAATGGTATTTTTTACCTAAATGGAAGTGTTCCTTTCCAAAGTCTCATGCAAAATCTTTGTGCATCTTAATTTTGTGAGTCTAAAGCCACACCCCTTTTAAAGAATTGGCAGCCTGCAGAGCTTTCTCCTTGATAAATGGTATAGGCTTTTTTTAAAGCCCATTATACTTCTTGTGACAGTTTAAGTTCCTGATTTCCTGACACTGTAGGGGGTTTGGGTTCAAGTGCAGAAGGCTGGAAACATTCCATTTTTCCCAACAAAATCTGCATTCCAGCATCGTAAGCCACAGCTTAATTCTTTCCAGTTGTGTTGCTATTCTTTCTGTTACACTTTTTTCCAGTCTTTCTCATCCACGGGGTGTTCTCCCTTGTATTGGAAGGAATGGCCTTTGACTTTCAGCTATGAAAGTCACGTCCAGCCCATGGTTAGAATAGAGTACACGGCAGCCAGCCTGAAAAGACTGAAACAGAATCAGTTGGATTGGGTTGGATCATGAAGAAGCTTCCTAGAAATAATAAGCTTAGCTTGGGCTTCTTTCTCAGAACAGGGTTATGAGGATGTGGTTTTAATGGTGGCATCTCAACAACTCCGACTTCTCTTGAGCTGGGGGAAGGTGACACAGTTCGTTCAAAGGCCAAATGTAATTGGCTGATGAAAAGTCAGCTTCATCCAGTTGCTCAAGTTCAGTTATTGAACTCACTGATAGCACAATTTATAGGTGTGATGGCTTATACATGTTGTTATCAAGCCAGCCAAATATGGAATCATAGGATTTTTCGAGCTACAAAGGCCCTGGCAATTTTCTGATCTAATACACTCGTTTTACAAAGAAATCCCTGCGGCACAGAAAAATAAAGAGATTTGCTCAATATTACACACCTAATAAATTGTTGAGCAGGAGTTTGACACAGTATTGTTTCAGTGAGAGATGGCACAAATCAGGAAAATCAGAACCTTTAAAAAAGTTGTTGCCTTCTAAGTGTGAAGCTCTTTAATTCTGTTTTGTCCGCCTGCTAGCTGCCTATTTTGAGCTGGTTACAGGGAGGAGGTAGGCTGTTCAGAAGAGTTTGAGAAAGACTGAGTTCAAATAGAGCAGTACTTCCAATGGGAGGAGAGGATCTACTTCAAATGGCAAAAGGATCTCAAACCACTTACATAGGTTAGCTTCTCACCTGGAGATGGAAACATTACCTTTAAGTTAGCTCATGATTATAAAATAGCCTTTCAATAAATTCACTTAATATTGTTTTATGAAACTGCCCATTTAATTAACTCCCTGAAGGAAATTAATTTTAAAATGTTTCATTTGAGCCATGAGTGAAATGAGTTGATATATAAAGAATTCTTTCCATGGT